GCTGTGTTTTGAGCTCAGCGTTGCCATCCTTAGCATGCTAATATTGGTTCATTAGCACAAAATACAAAGTACAGCTGAGGCTGAATAGATATTATTTGTTCAGCTTGTATTTGATCATAAAACAAAGTTCTGGAAACATTTACACCTTCGTTTGTTCAGCTTGTATTTGATCATAAAATAAAGCGCTGGAAACATTTACACCTTCACCTGATAACTGCATCAGAAGTCATTGGTGATTACATTCAGTTCTGAGGGGAACATGAATGTGTGTATAGTAGCAGTTGTGGAGAAGTCACAGGAGTCACCCTCATGCTTACACTAGAATAAAAGTGTAGGATCATAGAAGTCATTAAACTACATCATCTGGAAACATGTATGTGTAAAATGTTGTGGCAGTCCATCTAACAGGTCATAGTAAGACCAAAGCAGTGGAACGACAAACTAAACCACACTACCTACAACAAGAACAAAGCAAAGTGCAAACCCACAGAAGCATGCATTTTAATTTCAAGCAAAGCGTTTTCTGATTTTAAATTATAAACAGCATGGACATACAGTAATTTGTTGTGAAGAGGATCTCTGTCGGTTTTTTCACGTTTGTTGAAAACATTTCTCTAATCTAATATTTAAGAATAATGTTTTTCTGTCCATTCAGAGGTGAGTATCGCTACGTAGCCCAGAGTTATGAGGCTATGTCCCATACAGGAGGACATTCTGCTTAATTTTGGTATACTGTAAATCCCCCTTTCTATCACAGTGAAACCAAACCTCTATGATAAAAGCATCACTGATATAAACATGGATACACCTCAGTATTCGTACTGAAATAGTCAGGATGCCATATTAGGTCTGTAACTAAATACATTAATCTGATATGTGTCCCAAATGTGATTTTATTTCCCTCCAAGCCACTTTACAGAGTAGAGTTTTGTGCAGATTGTCCTCCAATGAGCTGTAGCACTTTTGAACAAGCACACACACACACACACAACATTACACACCTGTTCCCCTTCTAAATCCACTGTGATTTGAAAGTAAATCTTCAGTATGCTGTAAACTAGCTGGGCCACATCACAGCACTAACTAGACAGACATCGTTTCTGTAGTGTCATAGTTTTTACTCAACACCTTCCTTGTTTTATGAACAGCCGATGCCTTTGGTGCTCTTGAGAATTTTTCCACGTGTTGATTAATGTGTGTTTACAAGGCACATTTTGAGCCTCTCACACAGCCGCGACTGTGATTGTGTGAACTACTGTTTATCTAAGCCCAGTGGAGGGGAACCTTTCATCTGCCCTGCCACCATAAAATAAAACTCAGCACCAGATTCAGGCTGCTGAACAAACACAATAAACGCCAGACCACAAAGCAATCTCCACACAGAGATCCCAACAGGAAGGTCTGGACCTGCGGTTATGCTGGGAGATTACTGAAAAGATTAGTTTTGTGTTTATTTGGGTTCATTTTTACATTGAAAGATGTAAATAATGTGTGTGTGTGTGCGTGCGCAATGACACACCTGCTGCTGACAGATGATTACTGAAGTGAACAGAGCACTTGTGTTTGTTCAGTTCATGTGACAAAAAAATGTGAATGTTTGTGTATTTTTTACAGTCTTGGAAATATTTTAACTTGTGTTTTAACTTTGACTTATTGTGCAAATTGTCCAGAAAGCATGAGTTGAGTCATGGCAGGAAAACAGCAGCTTTTGTCAGACCAAAAACACATTCAGATGTTTTTCCATTCTCATTAAAAAATGCATTAGTTCAAATTTAACCACATCCAGTTCTGTTTTATAAGAGACGAGCACATTTACAGTGAAAATGAAAAGTTCACTGCACCTAATGACCTTTACTTGGGCAATTACTTAGTTACTTAGGCTGGACCTGATGCAGATCAAACACTCACATGCTCTCCATCGTATCCCTCATCATGGCAGTCATTTGTGCAGGCTCGTCCATCAGGACTGGTCCATAACAAAGATCTGGTGGCTCTAGTGCCTGTAACCCTATACAGGGACATGAAACACTGACCTCTGACCCCACGTGTGATACAATTGACAGTGTTAGCAGAGGTAAACGTGCCAAGCGCATTCCTGGCCTGTTTTGCAGCACGGCTTCTGTGGCATGTTAGTGCTGGAGCGGCTAAAATGCTTCTGACACACTCAGTAAATACAAGTCTCAGCGGAGTGACGGTATAATAGATACACTTTTACATGGCTTGGGAGTTTATCCAGCAAACTCATAAATGTTAGTGTTTTTACAAAACATAATACTGCCTTATTTGAAACAACATATGCATATGCCAAACCATAACAGTGTAACATGTGTGAAGAAAGTCCAAACATTGCTGGATGTTGAAGGTGAGGAGCTCAGAGCAAAGTTGAGTTTCTCTCTGAGGGACTGTGTTTAATCAAAACGAGCCTTATATTTTTCCTAGTCCTCAATACTGTAGTTCCTTTAAGAGCCCACACTGTAATACAGCAATAATTGGGTTATTTTAAAGGGTCAGTTCATCCAAAATACAAAAAAACAAAACAAAAAAAAAGAATTTTTCAACTTGCAGGACTTTTAGCAGCATCTAAGGTCCAGATTTTGAGATTTCTGTTTCCACAGAATTGATTTGTGGTTGTTACAACTGTGAAATATTACATTTTAACAGTTAATCAGCAAACGATACTCTGATTGCTCCAGATAACAAGTGAAGTTGTGCCGGACCTTCGACCAAAACATTCACCTTTTGTCACATTTTCTAATCTTGCACCATCTTGCACATTAATTAAAATCATTTTTTGTGGGTCTCAAGAAGAATTTTATTCTTTTTTTTCTGTCATTGAAATTGTACTGTTGATTTTAACTATGGGCAGCACACTGGTGCGGTGGTTAGCACTGTTACTTCCCAGTGAAAAGGTTCCGGGTTCGAGCCCCAGCTGACCCGAGGCCTTTCTGTGTGGAGTTTGCATGTTCTCCCCGTGCTTGTGTGGGTTTTCTCTGGGTGCTCCGGCTTCCTCCCAAAGACATGCAACATAGGTTGATTGGCGTCTCTACATTGCCCGTGTGAGTGGTTGTTAGTCTGCATGTTAGCCCTGCGATGGACTGGTGACCTGTCCAGGGTGTACCCCACCTCTTGCTGGCTGGGATTGGGTCCGTGACCCCGTTTGGACTAAGCGGTTTAAAAAATGGATGGATTTTAACTACATGCTCCTAACACTGTCTTTTCAAAAACATATTCAAAACACTAAATACACAAGAACTGAATGCAGATAAATCATACAGCTCCATTAATCCACGGTGGGAATAGAACTCTCTCAAGCTGGCATCTCAGAATCTGAGGAAATAAAATTAAAACTGTCTGCATGGCTAGATTCCATTAGAGCTAAGTTATAAAATGTGTTTTCTACAATCAGTGTGATCAAAGCAGCACCTCCTCACAAAGTTAACAAAAATTGCCACATCTTGTGACTAAAACTGCTAACTGAATTGTGTGTCACTACTTACATGGGCTATAAAACAATAAAAATTCACTGTTAGTGTCAAATAAAGAAAGTAAATTCCTCTGAGGTGATGTTTGTCTCCCCCCACTCTTTAGGCACTTACAGTATATTGGATGCCAACAGTACACACCCACTGGGGTTACAGCTTTACAGCCAGGCTCACTCCTGCAGGTTCTCTCTGAGGTGTGGACCTGTAAATGTCAGGGGAGGGGTTTCCCTGTATGAACTGACAGGCAGTATCTAGGAGCGTCTGACCTTATTACACAGTGGTGGTGGTAGGGAGCTACAGGCAGAGGATGGGGGGGGGGGGTGTTTAATCGCCTTCAACAGCTCTGACAGAGAAGGTGTCATGTTCTGACATGAAGGCCAGTTTCAGTTTACCGGCTGCCAGAGCGAAACGAGACGAGAACATGCATAATTGTACGCGTGTTTGCAGACACATGTACCACATGTACACACACATCTGTGTCTGATTTTATTGTTGCTCACAGTTTTAGTCAGTTTTTCTTTTAAATAAAGTTGGAATTTCTCCATCAGTTCCTCTGTGTTTCACAAACTTACATCATCACTTTCTGAGCTTTTAAGCTTTTATTTACCCTCCCGCCTTTCACAGCGCTCACTCTAGAGCAAAACAACTCTTTGCTTTTAATGTAAAATCAAATGTCAATTAATTACAGTATGTATAATTTATGTAGCATAACAGTGAACAAATGTCAAGACCTTTTAATTCATTTCATGTTTCAAAACACAGTGACTGAGTTAAGCTAAGTTAAAGTAGACTGATGTCAGCTAGGGTGCAGTTGAGCTGCATCGGCGTGGAAATTTGCCTCGCTGGCTGTTCCCTTGGTAAAGGAGAAAAATGTAAATTATAGGATGATATGCACAAATGAGAAATAATGAAAATAAAAAATCAATTGTTTTATCACAGAGCAGAAAAAGTAAGTCCAGAGGAGCCCAGTAAAGACATAAAGCAGGCATTACGAATGGAGCGGAGCCAGATGACAGGGAGTCCTCAAGTGGGGAAAAAGAGAAGAGAGACACAGAGAGAATCTGGCTCCCAGTAAACAGTAACACAGCACTCAGTTGAACCATATATTAGCGCAACAGCAGGAGCTCAGGGTTTGAAAACAGTCTGTGACTGGTGGGATGTGGGGGAGGCTGCGTGTGTGTGAGACAAGTGGCAAGAAGAGAACGCACAGACAGACGGAAAAGGAGGAAAGAAAGGGGTGAGAAAGAAGCTGAGATAAAATTTATAGAAAAAAGAACAAGAAACATTTAAAACAAAAAAAAAGAAGAATACCCAAAAGATGCAGAGGAGTCAAAGAAAGCAGAACGAGAGAGAAAGACTTTCCCTCAGACTTTCTCCTTGAGTCCCAGCCAACACATTTACAATCGAGGAAGTCTCTACTGACCCACCACTGATCCCTCCTTCTCCTCCCCTCCCCTCATGCTGGGACCCCCCTCCCTCCTGAGAAAGTGAGTTTCCCTCTTCCCCTAGCTCCCCTCGGAAGACTTAACACAGGCAGAGTGGAGCTGGCGGTCACAGTTGTGTCCTGGATTGTAGCGGTGAGAGAAACAGAGAGAGAGCAGCCTGTGAACCCCCCACCATGGATGTCAAACTGCTGGCACTGATGGCTCTACTGGCTGTGGCCACACGCATACCAGCATCTAACGGTGAGACCAGTCATTTCTGGGAGGTTTGATACATGGGATGTTTTAGGAGAGGGATTTTGCTGACTATGGTCTGGATGCTGACGTTTCTGTCACTTGGATTATATTAATATTGGCTGTGTGGATATCATTAATAATCAGTATTTTAATCCCAGTGTAAGGTAGAAAATCACCTAAACTTTAATGGTTTGATAGCTGATAACTGCTGCAGACTAGAAAGATTCCCTGTTGACATATTCTGAAGTGCTGTTGCACTCGTTTTGCTGCAACTTGTGTTCTTCAGATGGAATAAAGGTGAACAGAGATTTGACGTTTACACCAAAATGATTCATCCACAACTTTCTTCGTCTATATTTGACATGGTTAAACTGTTAGTCGGTCATCAGCATAAAATCCTCCAGCCTATCTGAGAACTGATGAATTGTTTAAGCCATTTGTTAAAAGTGTCAGAAGTGTATTTTTGCCTTCTGGTTTTCTGTGATCTCCAATTTTGCTCCGTTGATCACTGAAAACATGCAACTTGAAGACGTCAGTCTGGGACCTGAAATACTGTGAGCTGTGACATTTTATAGGCCAAAACAAACCTGAGAGAAACTATTCAGCAGGTTGATTAATAGTGAAAATAATCATTTAGGTCAGCTCTGCTTTACTGGTATAAAAGCTGACAGAAATCAGTAGCCTACATTACTGATGCATCATTTTGTAACATTTTTGTTGTTGTTTGAAAATAGAAAAAGTAGTAGGATTTCTAGTATTTAATAGATTCAGTATTCTGGGCTAAAATCCTTCATCTATCCGCAGTAGGATGCAGTGTGGCTCCACATATTAACCTGGGAGATTAATACTAACATATTAATGTCCCACATATTAACCGTGGTAGGGCACAAGTCAGGGTGTTGAGTCGTCCAACCCTGCTTATGCTAAGCTTGTTGACCCCATGTTAAAGAGCTAGGTCTAAATGTGTGTGCTTGTCTTTTCCTTTTGCTTTCTTTTAATTAGTTTCTAATTGGGGATAAACAATGCAGTGGTGATAACAGCGGACAGTTGCTTCTGGCCCCGGTGCATGCCTGCTGCATAATGATCCCTTAGTTTGCATGAGAAAAGGCCGTCAGTTGGTGTGAATCATTAGGCTGGTATAAGTGAGGATTTTGCCACTTGTGGCAGGACATTTGGTGTTGCATTATACATATGCATATCAATAGGACTATATTAAAGCACAGAACAAAGGTCTGCCAGTTACACCTGGTGCACCTGATTCAAGTAATGTGAGTGTTTATCTGCGCGGGAAATGGCTGATACGAAGAAAGAGCTCTTGAAATTTGTAAAATAATTACAAAATCAGAATGTGCTCTGTGACCCGTTAGCATTTCTTGACAGACTGCAGTGTCTGTGTAGCAATTTTTAATTCAAACCATTTGTGCATATTAGAGCAAAGCATCTAGGCTCTGGATTTTTATGTAAAAGTTTTATTGCAATACGTTTCTCCTCTCATTTTTATTGACATTTTTACAACCATTATCCATTTTTTTAGAAACTTTGTCAGCTACAATGAGTTTGCAGTTGCACGTATTTGGAGGTTTTGGTGTGCATCTGTGCTCCTCTGGAGCCCCACAAGCCTCCATGGAAGCACAGGGGTGATTTGTAATCATTTTAAGAATGTTCTCGAGAGGTTGTTGGTTCTGTATGAGCCGCAGAGATCAGATGAACACTGCAAATTGAATGTTGAGGACCCTTCTCCTTTAGAGTGGCCGGGCTGAATGCTCTGGGAGTGAAACGCTAAAATTCTGCATGTGTGTGTGTGAGTGAGTGAGAGAGAGAGTGGCCAAAAGGAGATAATCTCTTTTTAATGAACGTGATGTTCCGAGCAATAGCTGTTTGTGAAGACTTGTTACAGTAGATTGAACATGCTTTGAATTTCTCCACTGAGGGAAGTGAGTCCTAAATTCTAAACTCCTCATAGAACCTCCTCTCAAAGTAAATTAAGATTTTGTTAATTATTTCTTAAGTACCAAAAGCTTTGTTTAACAAGCCTGTGATACAATGAAGGGCCTAACTTTTCTGCTTGATTCTTGAACCTGCTATCCTTACACTAAATTAGCCTAATAAAAAATGATTTAATTGTGCTTATAAAATTGCTTTTGTGGCCTGTTGGGGCTATTTGTTTGGCAGTAACAGTGAACAGCATCATAATGTCAGGGACTGAGGTGCACAGCTGAGAATACACCAGGTTTTATTGAGCCATCAGTGAAGTCAAGGCTTGTGTCATCTGCTTAGTGTCTCGTAACTTCATTGAATTTCTTATTTCACATTGGTGCTAATTTGTCATCTTCCTTGTGTGTTTGCAGCGAAGCCCATCAGTCTGGTTGAGCGTTGCTGGTGTCGTTCCACTCTCAACACGGTTCCTCAGCGCTCCATCAAAGAGCTCAAGTTCCTCCACACGCCCAACTGCCCCTTCCAAGTCATGTAAGTAAATGGGTCTAAAATTACTGCAGTGATTAACTTGAAGAAAAGCAGCCCTTTGGCATATTTCCTGAGATATGCCAAAACCTCGTGCTTCCATAGCACCTGGTCCAACTCAATGACAAATTTTTTTTTTTTTGGACTTGCATTACTGTAACATAGCTAACTAGATCTCTGAGTCCACCGGCTGTCACCGTAGGGATGTGACGCTCCTTGATTATGTAACAGCGCTCCTACTCAGCGTTTTTTTTCTTGCAACAAAACAGCACAGTAACAAGATAAAACACTGAGCATGAACATGGATACAGAGCATTTACAGAAGAATGCAGGGGGGGAGTAAAGAAAGAGAACAATAAATAAATGATATTTAAAAAAAATTTATCAACCCAAAAACTGAAGCTAGATGAGGAAAGGCCAGCACTAGGGAACCCCAGAGCTCGGCAGGGCAGCAGTATTGTTGTTTTATGGTTACGAAGCTGGTCCGTTCCTTTGTTTGATTGTCTATCATAATTAAATCTGACTGTGAAAGTAGTTATGCGGCTCAAGGTCACTCCCTGATCTGACAGGAAGAGCTGGCTTGTTGTATGATATGATCCATTCCTAAACAGCTCCCAGACCCTGAGGAGGGAGCGAGTCTAAGAGGAGGCTGGCAGGTCCCGCACTGCTCAGCGTGGTGCTGAAATTACTTGCAGGGTTTTATCTATGAATCAGCAGCAGCACTAATGTAAACTAACCATCCTGACAGGATTTCCCCTTAGTTGTACTTAATATTTTTACTGACCACAACAGTGCAATTGGAACCTAGCTGTTCTGATACAGTCTGTTATATTTACTGTGCCTTTGTGACTTCTTCATGGAGAAAGGGCTCATTTAGTTAGATCTGGGCGCAAAACATTTTTAGGAACACAATACATGGGGGGTGTACCAAATGATGGAAATGAAAGAATGCTTAAAGGAATTTATAAGAATACATATTCACACATTTGCTACAGAAATCCCTCAGCCACAAAAATTAAATGGCAACTAAATTACGTTACATTCACTACCTGTCAAAAGGTTGGAGACACTTTCCCATTTGATTCAATCAGAAAGTGTCTCCAACCTTCTGACAGGTAGACTATGTGAACTAATGCCATTTTAATCTTGCACCTATTGATAATTATTTATGCATTATAATGAATAAAATAACATCAACAACAATAAAACTATTTTATATAATGAATGAAAATAAATAAAAAACAATTACACATCTGCTCAAATACAATGTACAATAGGAGACTTAGAGAAAAGAAACATCAGTAATGACTTGATGTGTTAATATCCTGATGATCTTGTATTTACTAGTTTAGTCTTTTGTATTAAAACCTTTTTATTTCTCACTTTTAATGTTACTTTGAATATAAGGAACATCAAAATAAAAAAACTGTAGTGATACACTCATTAATCAAACTCTGTGCTGATAAATTGCAGGTAGGTGCGTAGTGTTAATATCCTTCTATTCTTTCCTGAATGAGAGGCCTGAGTTTAAAACAACATGATCCACTCACACAGAGGAAAGTTGTAGCTGCCAGAGCTCGAGGGAACGTTTATGTTTTGCAAAGGAAGCAATCATTAAGGGTCAGAGTGATTGCCTTTGTATTTCTGCTGACCTTCTGCGTCCCTTATCCACTCTTTTGTTATTTCCCACCTCAAACTGCGAGGCAACATTGAGTATAATGTCACTGGTCTGGAACACATTAACTAAAAAGCTTCGTTCATTTGTTCGCTATAGAAAATAGGATGGCAGAAGCCTCAGAGCCAAAAGGCTAAAAGACTGTGGGGATCTACTAAAAGAAGGAGGAGGGGGGCTGGTCACTGCTGGGGTATCCGAATGGCAAAAGGTCAGAGAGGACACACGTCGCTCTGGCCAAGCCATAAACTCTAACCTCTCTCCAGAAAACTGTCAGAGGAGTCAAGAAGTCATTCAGATGAAAATCCTACAGAACGCTGTGCCGAGATCTCTATGGAGGCAGATGAAAGAAAGCCAGTAACACTACACCCCTCTTGCCCTCCAAACCCCCTCCCTCGTGTGTCCCCACGTGTACCCTCATCCTACCCCCCACCCCCAGCACGCTGTTGGTATTAACTTGCTGTGAAGTAATTACTACCTGCTGCTTGTGGAATTCCAGTCAAATCAATTAGGACCTGGGCTCTCAGTCATCCAGACGAGCAGACAGATAAACAGGATGACGGGAGACACTTCAAAACAGCAGAGAGCTTCCGAGCGCATAAGCTGACCAGCTCAAATAAAATGAAAGAGATGGGGAAGAAGGGGTCCCTGGAGGAAAAGCAAACACTGATCCAGTTACCGAGCTCTCCGACCACCCGACGCTCACGTTAGTTTGAGGGATTTAGGGCTGATGTTTGAATTGATGCTCCTTAACTGCTCTTTTAAGTTTTAGGGGCCATTTGCTCATTTGCACGTGTGTGTGCATTTAAGCAGGGTGAGGAATGGAAGAGGTGGGGGTAGAAACTAAATCAGACAGTGGTGAAGATGTTTAATATGTGTGATGGAGAGATGGAGGGAGCAAAAGGAGGAGCAGTGAGGCACCTCTGAGTTGTGAACTCCCATACAAAACAACCGTTTGCCACAGAGGCGCGAGACCCATATGTGTGAAGGGGGAAGACCGTTTTGCCTGCCCCCAGCCCAGTGGATCTGAAACTCTCACGGCACTGTCTGATAACAGAACAAATATGTGACTCAACTATCCATCAACAGGTCGGCCATCACTCTCTCTGTGACTGCAGAGCTGACATCCCTGTAGCTACTGCGTCTGCCGTCTGCTGCAAATAATATCATCCTGATGAGTAAACAATGAAATAAAAATAAAAATGACTTACTCCAGAACTTTCTGATGACACAGTTTACAGTTTGGTCAGTGGGACAGAATTTAAATTGTCACAAATTTTTAAAAAGTCAGAATTTTTTAAGCAAAGGTGCCGTTTGTTTGAAAACTGATTTTTCATTGTTCAAGATACCCCATTTAGCATTTTGACGTAGCTTATTAAAAAAAAGTTTACAATACACTTTTAAAAGATCTAAAACACTTTAATCATATGAGAGGATATTAACAAATACTGCATATTAATAAACACTTGTCCTTATACCGACACACAACACAGAGATCTTACATTAAGGTCTTACTGTAAAATTAATGAAAAAAATATGACAAATGTTATCTATAACATGAATATTTAAACACAAAATGCCCAATAAAAATTCAAAGCAAGCCACACAACACAGAGATCTTACATTAAGGCCTTACTGTAAAATTACTGACAAATGACAAATGTTATTTATAACATGAATATTTAAACACAGAATGCCCAATAAAAATTCAAAGCAAGTTTTTTGTACTGTTATTTCACAGTGTGTAACTGTTTTTTAACTAGGACAGTCTCACTTGGATAAAATCTCCTTTCAAGCATGTCCTGCTTGAAATAGAGCAATGATAATGAGTTAGTTAGTTAACACAAAAATAGACATATAATCATAAAGATTTTATCCCAGCACAAGCTGCCATCATGAAACAACAGCATAATGATAGAAATGGATGTTTTACAATGAATTAATTGAGATCCTACAGAGACACTGACTTCCACACTTGTAAAATGCTGTTTTTACCATTGCCTGAACAAATATTTTGCTAACTCGTGATTTACAGTGTCCTAAAATAATTGTGGAATAAAAACATCTGCAAAACTCACGAAAACTGCATCCTATGAATGAAGGCTGACATCTCTGTTAAACCGAGCCTTTCAAAACTCTTAAACCAGGCCAGTCTGATAGAAATGCTTTCCCAGATACAAATTAAACTGTAGTATGTCATGTTGATTTGTGTGCAGTGTAGACACAGCTTTACAACCTACAGGGCAGTACAAGCCTCCCTGCCAGCTTTCCCTGAGTGGAAGCAGAGACCTGGGATCTTCCACCGCTGACCGGCGGGTGTCAGTCTGTAATGTGTAGTAATCCTAAAGTGTTCAGTTTAAATGTGTTGGAGTTTTTAGAGCTCAGCTGAGGTGTTTTTGCACTCGGCCTTCATATCAGATATTATGCTGACATACTATGTTAATTTCAAAACCTAGGTTTTTTTATTTATTTGACAGAGAAAGAGACAGAGAACAAACAAACAAAAAAGCACGTCCTGTTTTTAGTTGGAAAAACACATTAGGGCTACAGCTTGATGAAAGTAGTAATCCTCTAGCGTTAGCTGGGATGTGTCCATTCGAGGAGGTGTCAGAGATTAGTTTGAGCTTTTGCTGAAGTGGGCTTTGATAAAAAATAAATATCACTGTGATTTATTAGCCACCGATAAAGGCATATGGTAGTTTGACGTGCAGCATCTTTAGCATTTTCTCCTTAACTTTAAATATAAATTATGGTCTTTATAGGGCTGTCAGGAATTGTTTCTTCTGGTATTTTTAAAAGCCCACCTTAGTGGTTTGGGGTGTTTAAATTTTATAACTGCAAAATGCCTGTATTGTACATTACTGTCCACCTGTATCTAAACTGTTGGCTGCAGTGAGTTTGTAGTTCACCGTTCTACATTGCAAGAAACCTTGTTTCCACACATTCCAGTACTTTGTGCATCGGCTTACAGGGAGTTGAAACTTGCTCAGACTTTAACTCAGAAAGTTACCGTATGTTGATCGCTCGTAACTGTGAGCCGGACCTGCTCTGAAATGTATGTTTGGGTGATCAAGGACGCTCCAACATCTGATACTGCAGAAAACTGTGATGTTCACACTGTGCACCTCACAGCTATTTGTCTTGTTGATTACCAATGCTTTATACAGACACAGTTTACACTGTCAAAGGTGAATTAAGAAAAAGGTTCCCATATGGCCTTAATCTAACTATTTAATATAGAACAGTGAAGGGTACAGATAGTTTATTGTGATGGATTAACTCACCCAAGCAAGTTCCAAGTTTGTACAACATGAACTAGCTTCTTTTGTATGCTTTGGAAAACAGTCTGTGAATGCACTACGGATATGATAATAATAATAAACTTATTTCATGTGATACATCATATATGGCAGTTATTTAGCTAAATATGCAAAACCATCTTAGAAGGTAATTTATCCAGTAAACAGTCTTGTTCCCTGTTGAGCTGTCAGCACAAACAATTGCCTAATATTTAAACCAAGTGAAACAACTAGGGAGTTGTAATGAAAATGTTTGTCACAGTTCCATGAAGTTACAAGGAGGTCTTGTTATGGTTTGGTTGACCACACAACTAATAGAGCAGATAAAATCTCTGCAATGCACACCGTCACCGGATGTGTGGCTACAGAGGAAGCCCAGAGGCAAAGACATTCTCCAGTACTGTGCATGGTCTCCAAACTCATTTACAGTATCATATGTGAGTTTGATACTTTGCTTCTTCTTTATCTCTGCTGCCGCTACAATACTTCCCACAGTCCTTCATTCAAAACCTGTATAAGTGTAGAAATTATAAAATCAAATGTAAATTGCGGATTTAAAATATTCTCTGTCTTTAAACTAAAATGTATTTGTTCAGAATGTTTTAGTACAACCCCAAATCAGAAAAAGCTGGCACAGTATGTAAAATCAAAATTTAAAATGAAAATAGTGATTTATAAGGATGATAAGGATGATAATAAAAAGGATAATCACCTTTATTGGCCAAGAATGTTACACACAAGGAATTTGTTTCCAGTATAAATCATCTATGTCCTGTATTACATTGAAAACAACACAGCAGCACATTATTTCATGTGATACCTCATCAACTTTATTCTTTGTTCAAAATAAACACCCGTTTCAATTCTGATGCTGCAACACAATCTTAAACGTTGGGGCAGTATTTATTTACCATAGTGTGATGTTGCTGTTCCTTTTCACAACACTTAAGATATTTAAGGACTGAGGACACCAAGTGATTAAATGTGTCAGGTGTCATTTTGTCCCATTCTTCCTGCAAACACGTTTTAAGGTGCACAACAGTCCTGGGCCGTCACTGATGCAGTGCACATTATTTCATGTGATACCTCATCAACTTTATTCTTTGTTCAAAATAAACACCCGTTTCAATTCTGATGCTGCAACACAATCTTAAACGTTGGGGCAGTAGACTGTTACTCACCTTAAGACTTGTTTGTGGGAAGAATGGGACAAAATGATAAAATCACTTGGTGTCCTCAGTCTCTAAATGTCTTTTAAGCATGAAAAGGAACAGCAACATCACACCATGGTAAACGCTTTACTGTCCCAACTTTTTTTGGAATGTGTTGTAAACTAATTTGAGCCACTGGTGTTGCCCAGCCATTACATACAATATATTGTCCTATGAATTATAAAATGTCTGCCTTAACTGCAGGATTTAAGATCAAGGGGACTTTGATATAGAATAGACAGCAACTAGTCAAACCTTATCAGTGCAGGACAGTATCAAGAGTAACCAGTTTAATGAACATCAAAGTCTGTGGTGGTTGCAAGCAAATTCACATCTTCACAAACGGTGGAAATTGGAATGTGAAAAGTCTGAGTCTATTTGACACAGACCTGGTAAGAGTTGGAACTCTGTGAAATTATCTTGTAATATATGATGCAGCAGGAAATCGCTCATGGATATCCATGGGCAAAAGTCTTCACCTGCTCGGCTTATTTCAATAATTGAAGTTTGCTTTTTCGGGTCCTCGGTCCATCTTCTAAAGGGCTTTGCCTTTCCTGGACTTTTGTACCAAGTCATGATGCAATCGCCTGTTGACATAACCTGTTTCAATTGGAATCATCATTTCATTGTTTTACCTCTTTATTAGCCCTGAAATGCAACCCTCCCAACTTTTTTTTGGAAAGTGTTGCATCAGCATTGCATTATGTTTATTTTGAACAGTGAATAAAATTGATGAGGTGTCACATCAAATAATGTGCTGTTGTATTGTTTTCAGTGTAATACAGGACACAGATGAGCTACACGTCACCATTTTCAGTTAAAATTTTCATTTTACACACAGGAGTTGTAAAATACTGAGTTTGATTCCTCAAATTCCACTTTTTTTCTTCCACAGTGCCAAGCTGAAGAACAACAGGGAAGTCTGCATCAACCCAGAGACCAAGTGGCTGCAGCAGTACTTAAAGAACGCCATTAACAAGTAAGCAAACCCTTATCACTCTCTTTGCTCAGACACAAGTGGTGCTGAGATAAAATACAGCTCTTCAGCTCTTCTGAGTTTAGAGTGTGCAAAAAAGAAATAAATCATTTTCAAAAAGCTCCCATTTCTCAGTTTTCTGCTGACAATTACTCAAGGAAATCAGTGACACGGTTAATGTAAGCAGCTGAGTTATTATCAGTGAAATGATTATCATCAAGTAAAGACAGACATAAATCTGCCACTTGTGTTTCTGCTTGAAAGCATGTGCGAGACTTCAGCCAAGGAGCATCAGTGTTCATCATGCTACACTCTCATCTTGGGTTTATTATATTTTAAAATAGCTTTTTAAAAATTCCTTTAGACATGCTTATCATCACTACTTGCTTATCAGCTACATACATTAGATGTCTTGGTTGGGGAGTGGTACTGTTTGTTATGTAATTTAAGGAGTTGCATGAATATGCGATGCGTTTTTAAGTGTAGTGTTACCACACGAATGGCACAGCAGTAAACAGTCTGCCAGACACACGCAACACGGACTTTTCATATTCAGCCTGTTGTGTGTGTCTTAATGAATATTGTATGTAGAAAATCAGGTGTTCTTTATAGACATGTCAAAAAATAAATAAGTAAAATTCATATGTTTCAGCTGAGAAGCCACTTTGTTTGAGTTCTTCCATGAAGCATTTGAGCCCATTCACTGGGTTTTCTGAGACAAAAACATGAAAACAACTGCAGTAACTGGCTTCAGCATGGAAAGTCTTAAGTGTACCTGTATTTTGTAGGTGCTGAGAATGGGAGTCATGAATGTACAAAGTGAGTGAATCTATAAATGCTCCACCTGTTTAAACCAAAGTCCAGTGTCAAAACAATGTAGAGATGTGAAAATATAACCTTTAATAATACAGCCTGCGACCACACAAACACACACTGTGTATGAAAAAGAAAATGTAGGATAGGATTTTTGTGAGCTTGGTTGCTCTTTGTCACCATCACCAATATAATTGTTCACTTACACTGCACATAAATCACATTTATAGTCTTAATATCCACCAATCAGAACTGCCTGTCAACACCCGAGGCCCCTAACGTGACCATGACTGCTCTGCTAAGCACACAGCATGCACACTTGTTTCACCAGCACCCAGCTGCATGTTCATATCCTCTGTTAGAAAACATATGCACATCATCTTCACTGCCAGGACTCTGTATTCCTTGGCAGCATTTTTGTGACTGTGTATACAAGTTGAAGAAAGGAGGCCGGGAGCTACTGAAATGGCTAGTTAGTGAAAATAATGTCTATTAATTGTTAATATTGTTTTATTAAATGGTTGTTGTTGGCAGTGGTGAAAGAACTAGTCAGATTCCTTATTTAAGTAAAAGTACTAATACAGCAGTGTAAAAACAGAAGTGTCATCAGCAACATACTTCAAATATCAAAAGTAAAAGTGCTCATGCTAAACAACAGCCCCTGTGACTGATGTATTATTGTAGAAGACATTACTACATTATTGATCCCGACGTCTGTCTGTTCTATAGAGTATGCAGGTTTAGGTCTGGGGTTGGGTCTAGTTAGTTTAGTATAGTGGTTCCCAGCCTAAGGGTTGGGTCCTTTAAAGGGTCACCAGAAAAATCTAAGGGGTTGTGAACTGACAAAGCGCTTTGGACTGAATCTTTTTGTGAAATATTACTTATTTTTACATTTTTGGGTCATTTAACTGAAACCAGAGGTTAGAGAGGAAATTTGGCAAGAGGACTTAAATGAATTGTTTTTTGTAAGGGATAACAAGGTTGGTAACAGCAGTGGAAGAAGTACTCAAACTGTTTACTTAAGTAAAAGTAGTAATAACACAGTGTACAAGTCTGTTACAAGTACAAGTCCTGCATTCAAATTGCTAGTTAAGTAAAAGTGCAAAAGTTTTAGTATAAAGTATATTTAAAGTACTAAAGTACTCATTATACAGAATGGCACAGTTAACATTAAGATATATCATATTATTGGACTATAGGTACTGGTGTATTATTGTGTACATCACAGCGTTAAAGTTGGTGTTAATGTTAACTACCTTATATTCTTATAGTTTGAAGTACTTTACATACTGCTGGGTAGCTTGTGAATTTCTCACCAATAAAGTCTGTCTTTACATACTTATTTTGTTTCATTTCAGTGTGAAATGTAACTAGTAACTAAAGCTAACAAATAAATGTAGTGGAGTACAAAGTTTTTCTATAAAATGTAGTGAAGTCAAAGTATGAAGTAGCAGAAAATTAAAACACTCAAATAAAGTAGAGAAACTCAAAGTTGTACTTAAGTATTGCACTTGAGTAAATGTACTAAGTTACTTTCTACCTCTGGTTGGGCAGCATTGGCTTCATCTTTATTTATTGTAAATTGTAAACTCATATGTTTTTTCAGTGTAAAACTTCATCTAAAAAGTAAAAAGTAAATGTAGCTGACACATTAATGTAGTGGAGTAGAAGTATCAAGTAGCAGAAAATGGAAATACTCAAGCAAATTACAACTATCAGAATTACATTCCACCACTGGTAGCTGTCCTGACTAACCATCCACACGTGTTTGTTAACCTTCACCATTGTTGTTCAGTCACTGGATTTTATTACCAAACATCATTAAATCTTTGGGTACTTATTTCTGAACTGTGCTCATTTTCAGTCTTAACTAATCCATTTCTCTCCAGAGTGAAGAAATCCAGAAGACGCAGTACCAAGAAAGACTAAACCCAAGAGAAGATGCATGTCATCAGGCCTTGTTATACCTCCCTGTCACTGCTATGGATGTATGTAAACACTCTGCATGTACCTGTCCACCTCTCTGGACCACTAGCAGAACCAGCACTTCACTACCAGCACCACCACTGATCCCTCTGGACACTCACACAGTCACCATGTTAGCACCAAGTGCAATTACACTTTGAAATGATGCAAAGATATGTACATATGTGTGTGTGTGTGTGAGTGTGTGAGTGTGTGCTGAGTAAGTGGCATGAGTGAGAAAGCGAGAGTGTGTGTGTATGAATGTGCTTCACATAAACTAATTCTGACTAACTGTGTCTGAACATAGGATTTGTTGCTTCACACCACTATAAAGGAACAAACTGAGCTTTCTGTTTCACAAACACAGTTTTGTGGGTCCCGTTGGCTTCACTTCCTATCAATGTAAGGTCATGACCCAAATCTGGTTTGGCAAACTGAAGAGACCCCAAAATGAATATGATCAGTTATTTTTACAACAGACCATGTACTTTTAACACTATTTTTAAAAAGTTAATTCTACATTTTATTGCTGATGTTATGCTCATTAAAACAATATTTGGGATGGGGGTGTTATGAGAAAAGCTCGCTTCACCACTTTCTGGGACAAATCCAGAGATGAGGCCAGTGGGGTTAGGCCAAAGTATCACGAGCCTTGCACTGTCTTTGAACTCACTGCAAAACACAACAGAGAGGAAGCTCACACAAACGATGTAGACACAAGCACTGATATCATGGTGCTATATATTCAGTATAAGGGGTAAGAGCCATTAACAGATTTGTATTTCACTGTTTATTTTGTGAACTCTGTATGATACACTATATTTTTACCTGTTACAAAAAAGGGCTGTTGTTGGAGTGTAAAGTGAAAAATGAAATGAAACGCTGAGGTTATGCTAAGGCCATACTGTGCTGACAAAGAAATGGAATAAACCCTTCTCAGTGCAGCTTTTTTATTGATCAATATATCAGGAAACAGAGACTAAATATTTGTACAGTCAAAGGTGAAAAATGAAGAAACCTGTGAACATTAAAATCTTGATTTTATATTTCATTTATTGTTAGTAAAAGGGTAGAAAACATCATAATTCCAAAAGCAGTTTTTTTTGTTTGTTTTTTTTTTACTACTTATTACAGTGGCTGAGTAAATGTATGTCATGACAACTGAACAAATTAGCTGCAGTGTTTTCATACCAACACCGGCCCTTTTTAGGAACGAAAAGCTAATAAATATTCACACGAAAGAGCAGAGTGATGAACGTCACAAAGGAAATGTTCACAGTGGCAAAATGAAAGTTTGTGATCTGTTCACTTTTTTTATATCTATTTGAGCCACTTTATTGTTAGACATGTGTTTTGTATGTAATTGTTTTATTTCTATATTGTGTATTATCTTACTAAATGCCTTTTTAATGCAATGTACAGTAAGCAGTCACTACTAAATGAAGGCTATTCCTTAAAGTGTGAGAACCAGTATTACATTTCACTTTTAAAAATGCATGCAATATTTTACATAACCTAGTAATACACAGAATGCAACAGGTTCCTTTTCCAGTGGAATAATACATCTTTTGCCATGTGGATAAAAAAAAAAGTGCCAGATGAGATACATTTCATCCTTTTGGTTTGTTGTCCTCTCCACATTGTTTCCTTATCAGCCAGTCTGAGATGTAACATGCACACAGTGTTTGAAAATTAAAACCCTTGACACCAAGTGAAGAAACTATCGGTCGTCCCAGCCGAACACTAACTTCAGTTTTTCTATAGCTGTACTGAGGTTGATGTATGATGTGTCGACAGGGCCACTGAATCAGAACAGAACTAAATCTCTGAGTTGAAATCCAAGCGCCCAACATGTGCTTTCAATCTGGACACTCCCTGTGCCCCACGGGCCTCCGCCTCAGTTGCTCTCAGCTGCTGCGCTGCCGTAACACTAGAGCTCCTTCTTTTCCCTAACATTCTAAAGGAAGCCCTGGGGTTGTGGTCACCGTCTGATCGTGTTTAGTTCTACACGATCTATTTGTTAACTGTCTGCTAACAGGTGATAATCTTATCAATTTACAGCTAGTAGTGTAAAAACCCTGTAACTGTAATTAATGTCTCATTAATGTAATAGAAGTTCATGGATACTAATTTTATATATATATATACAAATGTTTCAAACACATTGATAAACAAGCTTAAATGCTATGTTACAATGTTACTGGTCATGTAAACCGCCTCTCCATTCCTAGATTAGATTATTAACATTAAAAAGAAGATTGTGTTGTTACTACTGTAAACTTCAGACTTTCTAATAATGTGATAAATATCTTGAGAGCAGGAAAAATAATATCGCATCACCTGTAGTGAAATGCTATTACAATAATGGGGTTTGAGTTGTGCGAATTCGATTCATTTTGTAACAAGTATTTAGCTTTATTTAACAGACTTTTTATGTGTATTTATGTATAGTACTGCAGGCCCTATTTAACCCTGGCAGTGTTAGCACCGCTCTCATCAGACCATCACTGTAGACAACATTTGGTATGATTAAACAATGTCAGCCAAATATAAACACACCTTTATCATGGTGCATATTTGGCACCAGAGCTTTTACAATAAATCTGTGTAAAAGTGTTTAATAAATTCATCATCATGGGTGTGCATGTTCTGCTTTTTGACCCCAAAACAATGTGAAACAACTTTATTCTTTTGAGGCAGCTTGTGACGCATTATCTTCATATACATGAGATGTATTAGAGCATTAGCCACTGTATTGTCACCGTGTAAACAAAGAGGCAGTATTTTAGCTCAAGCCTTTTTTCAATAAAGTCATATATTCTAAAATCAATCGTGTGCCTTTATTTATCTGCTTCGTACAGTGTTTACTTTTACTGTATATTTCATTGATTTAAAGTCATGGACCAAAATGAGCATCCCGTTGTGTTGCTGCCCACCTGACTAAAGCCCGCCGTTCACTCTCATGTTAGCTTTAATTTGTTCCTCCGGCTCCCGAGAAAAACATGTGGGTCTTTAACTTGTTACTGTAGATAATACTTTCTGCAGTCAGTGGTTTATTTTGGCTCTGGATGTTCTAGATGGTCTACAGTTTAGTATGTTGTGACCGTGTCTCCTAGACATGACATTTATATACCACTAATCTGCAATGGAGAAAACTTTTTAGAGAAAATGCCACCGGCATCATTCTCCTACTTGATAGTTACAAAATGCTCTTTATGATAACATCTGTAAAATTATCAATGACAACAAATCAATCTAAAATCCCTGAAAGCGTCTGAGAGCACGAAGCAGGAGCCCTGAGGTAATGCTGGCAGCAAACTAGTGCTGTATAAATGTCTTTCTAGGGGGCCGGTTGGAGGATTGAAAAGTAAATAATAAACCATAATAATAAGGCAGGTAACAGACACACACACAAGAAAACGATTCACAGATGTAGAGTTGCTGTTTAGGGTCAGCACTATAAGGGATCCATTTCTCATTCAGGGAGTTATAATATTTTATAGCAATATCTTAAATATCACTTGATGCAGAAAATGTCTGGCAGAAATATCTGAACAGGTTCGGGAACGGTCACAGCGATTTTCCTACTCACTTTGAGAGGAATAAATAAAGACTGTATCACACCTCAGAGAGGTGGAATAAGCTGCACTACACACCACATAAAACCTCTTTCTATAGAGAAGAATAAAACACTGGAGACCAGACTTCCTGTCGCCGGTTCCCTGAAACAAGCTAGTTTAAACTGAAAGGTAAAGCCAGAACTTCACTTTTGGAAACAGTCACATGTAATTCCCATTAACATCCCTATTTGACCGGTTAACACCTGAGATTTCAAAAGCATTAGATGGTGCTGGCTCATAATTTGTCCATAGTACCAGGAGCCCATGTAGCTTTATAAAGCTGTCAGCCCTGATAAAGTGGACTCGTGTAGAGGAGATTAGTTTCATGGTATGGCTCTGACCTCTGTGCAGGTACCTATGAGGAACATGAGACACGGTCTAGGTGTGGGCTGAGTGCTTTAGAGGGTCAGAGTCGCATGTTGGTGTCTTTTGAGCACATTCAGAAATAATTATGGGATTTCAGTGCCCTGCTTGCTCAGCTGAGACTACCACGATGGAGGTAGCTGACAAATGTACAGAATGTTTATGTGTTTTATATTTTTACTGACACATTTCTCTGATTGAGTTCAGCTGAGGATGTTGGAGGGCTTTTACAACAAGAAAAAATAAATCTACCCAAATACAATGAGACCTCTTAGTAGAATTAGATACAATATTACAAACCAGTTGTGACTTATAAAATGCAAACAGTGGGCGTATTAGAGCCCGAATCACATACGCACTGTCCAATAAAAGCACATGTTGATGAGGGGACATATCAATAGATAGCAAAAACCGCAGCTCACATATAGTTTAAGGAGACAGAACAACACATGGCACACTTACTGTGTTACATTATATTACAAGTGATCATGTGTGTGCTTTCAATCAGCATAACATCATGCTAACAAACTATATATATCAGAATCAGAAAATTGTGCCAGTGATGATTTTTTCTTTTCTTTTTATTTTGTACATGTGAATGAAGTTAAAATGAAGTTCAAGCGTATCCATATCAGAGGTTTGGTCACTTGCATAATTCATTCAAATGAATAATTCATCCAAGTGTGATCAAAACCCAACTGTTTGGATCAGCTCAGTTAACTTATTTTCGTTGACTTTGCCATCTGTTTAGCTGCTTCTGTTTCATACTGTATGTTTTTGTTGATAAATGCACCTGTTTTGCTCTTTGTGACCCGCAGGTGAGGTGATGTTAAGCCTTGTTTTTGATATTGACGATGTAAAGTTTGAGATGTATTCTACTGTTACAATTTCAGTGAAGATGACATTCAGCAAAACAGCTACATTCTGTGGACCTCCTCTCACATTTAATCAGTCTGTAACCACATGTAACTAAACTGTCTTAGCACACAGCAATCTTCAAGTCAAATCACCTGAGACTGAGAATACAACCAGGTTGGACAAAAAACTGCTGTCTGATTCAGTCTTGGAGATTGTGGATAATCTGGTGTGATTTCAGGCTCTTGATTGTAGATCTCTGAATAACTTAATAGCCAACCAGCTGAATGGAAGTTAATAGGAAACATGTTGGCTCTATGTGTGTGTGGTGACAGTGAAGTATGTCAGTGGGACGGGTCCACACTCTGAGTGTAATCCCTTTGGGTTCCCTACATGCACAGCAAGTCAGGGTATGGATATGTTAACAAGATGTTTCCTTCTCATTATATAGGACCATGAACCAGATGCTGAATGATGAAGAGGGCATGCAGACAGGTGACCAATTAAAGGAAAAACCTGAATATTTGACCCCCTACAGTGAAGGGGTCAGGTAGCTCTGCTATACATTTTGCTGCCAGAGGGAAGGATCGATGCAAACAATACAAAGTTGCTCTGAAAATTTAGGAAAGATACAGGGGCATGCAAAAGTAAACATAAATATCATTGTATCAACACATCCATCCATTATCTATGCCACTTACTCCTGAATAGGGTTGTGATGGGGGCTGGAGCCAATCCCAGCTGACATTGGGCGAGAGGCGGGGTACATCTTGGATAGGTCGCCAGTTTTTCACAGGGCTGACACTTAGAGACAGACAACCACACACACTCCTATGGGCAATTTAGAGTCACCAGTCAACCTAAGCTGCATGTCTTTGGACTGTGGGAGGAAGCCGGAGTACCGGGGGAAAACCCATGCAGCCGCAGGGAGAACCTGCAAACTCCACACAGAAAGGCCTCGGGTCGGCCTGGGCTTAAACCTGGAGGTGATAGTGTTAACCGCTGCGCTGATATGCTGCCCCATGTCAAAACATAGACACAAAGGCACAGTAAAAGTTCATCTAATAGATTAACCTCTAGCTGCTCTTTTATCAGTCTTTATCAGCCTGGGCCTCTATCAGTGGACCTGTGAAAAGACTTACATTAGTCTAAAATGGATAACACATCTCAGAATTCTTAAAAAGATTAACAAAAATATGCCATGGATTGGCGACCTGTCCAGGGTGTACCCTGCCTTCGCCCGATTGCCGGCCGGGATTGGCTCCGCACAAAATGCAACCTGATTTCTTTTACTGTAAATGTATTTTTTCCTGTGATAATACACTGAGAAGTATGAGACTGCAGCAGATATCAAAACTGGCTACGCTCATCAATGAGTCAGATGCAGTGTATTTATGTAACTCTTTTATAGCAAAGCGCTATCCTGCAATAAATGGACAACCTCCTGAGCTGCAGCTGCCACACGATTGACCACTTTGTGATCCCTTCAGCAACACTCTGACTGTGTGGTAACCCCTCCGCATTCATGCAAGCCCTTGTTACCCCTTATAGATGACTAACTCCAGGTCTACACACTGACTATCAACAATCAGCATCAATCAGCAACAAACGCATGCTAAAAAAGACAGATGAGGTCTGAGCTGCCTACAGTGATCACTCTTTTCATATGAAAGAGTCAAAGACTGTGCCATTGTAGGGGGGATAAGGAGGAAAGACTTCACAGTACCACATATCCCACAAGACACTTCTTCTCTATCAAATCAACAGGCAGTGTAAACAGCTCAAGAGGATTTGGAATGTCCTCAGATCCATCATGGCCGATTGTTCAGTGTTTCCCAAACTTTACAGCAGAGAAAAGGGTCATGGGAATTGCTATTGGAAACAGGTTCATCACTGTTTCCACATGGAGACATCCCTTATGTTCGAACAAGTGACGAAGCAGAGCAGAGGGGGAAAGAAAGCGAAGAAGAGATAAATATCATCATTTATCAGCAAACAGTCCAAATTGTTCCATGGCAGACAAAAGGATGCAATACATCTTTGTTTATTAGCATTTTTTGAAAAAAGGTCTGAGAGAGGAAGAAAAGGGACATCATCATTTACTGCTCATTTCAAAGAATGCCACGTACAAAAGGCTCGTAATGATCCCCGCTTAATGAATCATTCCACTGTGATACAGAACTGACTTTGTTGCCTGGTTATCAGACTCCTCTGCTGGCATTCAACAGGCAAGCATCATTAACTTAGTGAAGAGTTGATTTCCCAGTTATTTTGTTTTATAAGACAGCCAGGTGCTACCGACTCACTGATTCCACTGTAAAAGGTGGCAATGCATCCACTATTTAAAGTGAGAACTGTAGGGGTTTACAGTTCATTGGGAGACTGTTATCACAGTATTGCAGAGGGATTTGAAGTTGTTAGTAAAAACAAAATAATGATTTATATTTCAAACATGTAAAACTCTTGTTCTTGTCCTGTTTGAGCAGAAATCAACACTGCCTGCTCAGCAACAAAGTGCTTTATTGTTTGTGAGTGTTATGTTGTGTTGTCTTTAATATGTCAAATTGTCATCTTGCCCAGGTTGTTTATGAGAAAGAGGTTGTTGGGATTGACCTGGGAAGATAAAGGTTAATTACAATTAAATAAAAATTAGCTACAAGTATGTGATAGAGGATTAACAGCGTTTTTTGTTTTGTTTTGTTTTTTACAATGGAATTCAGTCCGAGCATGTTCAAGGTCCAGGCCTTGAAAAAACAACAGTCCTCTGAAGTGTGATGAACCCCAGAAAGTCGAGTTCAGGCAAATCTGCTAACATTTCTCAAGAGCGCTTCATAACTCACCTTAGGTTAGAAAAACCCACAGATTAGAGGCACTGCTTTCTCTCAGGTTTGTCAGTGTTTGCCATTATCCCCAGTATGTTAATGTGCTCACCATCTGTTGTGTCACTGGAGGTTTTTTGACATGTTCAT